TGACGTATTTCGACTTTTTTTCATAAATAATACTGTTTTTAAAAATATTTTCCAAAATAGCACCTCTACAACTTTATTTACACAACTAGCACTCTTTACTCGTTCACGTAATAAAATAATATTATTTCGCGCAACTCATTCATCGTTCACGTATTAAAATAATATTATTTCGCGCAATGAACTCTCGCTCAAGCGAAAAAACCCCTCGCTTGAGCGAGGAAATCTGTAACAAAGGGGTAATCTCGGGTCAATTATCGCTCAAGCGAAGACACCCTTCGCTTGAGCGAGGAAATCCGTAAGAAAGGGTTATCTCCGGTCAACTCTCGCTCAAGCGACGACTATTTCGCTTGAGCGAGAAGTGATTAAAATATGTGGTGACCCAAGTTGCGTTATGTGGCTAACTGCGTTGGACGTTTAGCGAAATAATGCAACTTGGGTTTAGATAGCGGTTTTAGAACTAACCGCTATTAAAAATATATTTTAGATAGTCGTTAACGTGGAACCGCTATTATATGTTACTTCTAAGAGCGGTTAAAATATTAACCGCTCTTAAAAGTGAGACATATAGTTGGAACGTGGGCAACTATCGCTCAAGCGACCACTATTTCGCTTGAGCGAGAAGTGATTAAAATATGTGGTGACCCAAGTTGCGTTATGTGGCTAACTGCGTTGGACGTTTAGCGAAATAATGCAACTTGGATTTAGATAGCAGTTTTAGAACTAACCGCTTGAGCGAAGATATTTATAATCGATTATAACGTGAAATAATCGATCATAATTTTAATCGATTGTTCCGTGTTTTAATCGATTGATATACTGCAAAACTTTCTTATAAAACTTTCCAAGTTATTTTAGCTGATAAAAAGAAGTTTTAATCGATTAAAACTTTGTACAAATTTTTTCCAAGTTGTTTTAATCGGTTGAAACGCGTTTTAATCGATTGAAACTCTGTACAAAATTTTTCCAAGTTATTTTAATCGATTTAAATGCGTTTTAATCGATTGAAACAGATCTGATCGGTCATAATTCAGTTCTGATCGATCATAACCAACTCTGATCGGTCATAACTGCATTCTGATCGATCATTCTGACCCTTTAAGTGATTTTAATCGATTGAAACATGTTTTAATCGATTGAAATAAGTTCTGATCGCTCATATTTCAAATCTGATCGGTCATAATGGGTTCTAAAGGGTTTTAATCTATTAAAAGTAATTTGTATCGATTAAAATACTGTAAAAACACTTCTTTGATCATTCTAAGCCACTCCACAGAATTGATGCTTGACAGCCCCACAACCTCAAGCACTTTAACCCTGAGTAACCAACCAACCATCAGTCAAGAAATTTTAAATTCTCTTTACATGCTATCATCCCCATATATCACCTTCAATGAATCAATTACAGTCAGCTCCAGGTAAAACAATACAAAAACAAGATAATTTCATAAACAGAACAAACTCCCCTTTCAGCAACATCATATAATGCAACCTGGGTCACCTGCAGGTTTTCTCGCTCAAGCGATGCACTTCTCGCTCGAGCGAGAATTGACCATAACTAAACGTCCAATGTAGTTAGCCACATAATGCAACCTAGGTCACCACATATTTCAATCACTTCTCGCTCAAGCGAAATTACCGTCGCTTGAGCTAGAATTTACCCGAGATTTAAGATAGCGGTTGTAGAATTGACCGCTATTAAAAGTATATTTTACATAGCGGTTAACGTGGAACCGCTATTATATGTCGATTCTTTTAAAATTATGATCGATTATTTCACGTTATAATCGATTATAAATATATTCGCTCAAGCGATGAGTGTCTCGCTTGAGCGATAGTTGCCCACGACACAACTATATGCCTCACTTTTAAGAGCGGTTAATATTTTAACCGCTCTTAGAAGTAACATATAATAGCGGTTAGTGCTAGAACCGCTATCTAAACCCAAGTTGCATTACTTGGCTAAACGTCCAACGCAGTTAGCCACATAACGCAACTTGGGTCACCACATATTTTAATCACTTATCGCTCAAGCGAAATATCTGTTGCTTGAGCGAGAGTTGACCGGAGATAACCCTTTCTTACGGCTTTCTCGCTCAAGCGAAGGGTTTCTTCGCTTGAGCGAGAGTTCATTGCGCAAAATAATATTATTTTAATATGTGAACAGTAAACAGTTGCACGAAATAATATTATTTTAATCTGTGAACAGTAAACAGTGCTAGTTGTGTAAATAAAGTTGCAGATGTGCTATTTTAGAAAATATTTTTAAAAACAGTATTATTTATGAAAAAAAGTCACGTATTTCATGTTTTAAAAAAGTAATTTCTTTTACCAAACATTAGTGAATATTCAAAGTCATAATAATTTTATTTCTTGTATAATATAAAAAAATATTTTAAAGCTACAAAGATAATTATTAAATCGTTAGTGTCCCATAAAAATAAAAATATTGTTTAGAGTGATACTGTGAATATTTTTATAGTGATATTGTGATTTATTTTCATAGGTAGCACCCAATTGAAAAAGAATCACTTCTACAACACATTGTTCGAATTATTGATATAAGTAGTACAGATTGTATGTATGATTGGAATTCGGTTTATGGGATGTTGAATTCCAACCTTAACAACTAATAAAAAATTTAAAATATAATAATATTTATTAAATATACAAATTATATATATATATATATATATATTTTAAAATTTTATTTATATAATTATATGAAATAAATATAAATAATTTTTTATAATATAAAAATATATTTATATAATTATATTATTATTATATTTTTATAAATATAGTAAATACAAATATATTTAATATATATGTTTAAATATTTATTTATATTTTTATAAATATAATACAATTTAATAAATATATATTTATATCTTTCTATATAACATTTTTACATAAATAAATTTTATATATTATTTAAATATATTTTTTAATATAAAATAATATTATTTATAGAAATATATAAATAATTTTATTATATTTATATATATTTTTATAAATATGATATTGTTATATATATATATTATAACTTTATTAAATAATATATATATATATATATTTAAATATTTAATAAATACATTTTTTATATACATAATAACTTTATTAAATTATATATAATAATAATAATAATAATAATAATAATAAAGTATTTATTTAATATATGGAGATACATTACAACTAGATTCAAGACCACAAAAATTTAGAAGGACTAGACATTAAAAAAAAAATGCAAACCCAACATTGACTTGAACGTAGTTATATACAACTTACGAATTCCATATATTATATTAAATAAATACTTCATTATTATTATATATATTATATATATATAATTTAATAAAGTTATTATATATATAAAAATGTATTTATTAAATATTTAAATATATATACATATTATTTAATAAAGTTATAATATATATAACAATATCATATTTATAAAAATATACATAAATATAATAAAATTATTTATATATTTCTATAAAAAATATTATTTTTACTTACTAAAATTATTTATATAAAAATATATTTAAATAATATATAAAAATTATTTATGTAAAAATGTTATATAGAAAGATATAAATATATATTTATTAAATTTAATTATATTTATAAAAATATAAATAAATATTTAAACATATATATTAAATATATTTGTATTTACTATATTTATAAAAATATATTAATAATATAATTATATAAATATATTTTTATGTTATATAAAAAATATATTTATATTTATTTCATATAATTATATAAATAAAATTTTAAAAAATAAATATAATATTTATATATTTATTTTATATATATATATTTATATTTAATAAATATTATTATATTTTAAAATTTTTATTAGTTATTAAGACAAACCGAATTCCAATTAGTGTTACTTGAGTCAATAATGGAAGAAGTGTTTTATATAGGTGATTTTTTTCAATTGGGTACTACTGAAAAAAATCATAATATTATAACACTTAACAATAACCGTATCAATTAGTATTATAAAAAAATATTTATTATAAATACTAATATAATTAGTTCTATTAGTATTATAAAAAAATATTCATTATAAATACTAATATAATTAGTTCTATGGTTCATATATAAACTTGGAAAATTTTATTTATAAATTTACTTCTATTTTGTGTAGAAAACTACTTTAGATCATATATTTTATAATTTTCTATTTCATTTACAGTTTTTTATTTTTATTAATGATTTCTAAATATTTATTAATAATTAATTAATATTATAATAGATATAGATTTCTATTTCATTTACAGTTTTTTTTATTAATGATTTCTAAATATTTATTAATAATTAATTAATATTATAATAGATATAGATTTCTATTTCATTTACAATTTTTTTTATTAATGATTTCTAAATATTTATTAATAATTAATTAATATTATAATAGATATAGATTTTGAATTACCTCCATAGATATTTTTAATAATTAAAATAAATAAATAAAATAAGAAAAAGTCAAGAATCATTCCTAATAAAATGATACCCCTCAATTTCCCTCACTAAACTCAAAAATTAGTTTAACAGTAAAGAAATTGAACACTCTGACTCTGAGAGACAAACCCTCATCATTCCTCCTCCACTAATTTCCCTGCCTTGTCGTTTTGATCATTTCCCCAGTCAAAACGCGCCCTCTTTCCTCTTTCTCAACCTTCGCCACCCTTCTCCGCCCAATTTTTGCTGTTTCTCAAACTCCGACGCCATATCCGGCCACTGCAGGTACCTTCGCCACTTCCGATCTCACGCTCTCTTTCACGGCTCTTTTTTTTTTTTTTTTTCTCGCTTCGCGATCATCGTCGATTTTTTATGTTTCCGCCTTCGAATAGGGTTTCGGTGTCGGATTCTCGATCCCTGGGTTCCGATTTCGTTTCTCTAATTTTTGTTTCCACGTTCTCTTGTTTTTTTAACTTTTTGTTTTGTTGATCGTGAATTGCAGCGAGTGAATAAGGTCCTGGACGATGAGCAACGTGTTCGAGGGATACGAACGCCAGTACTGCGAGCTCTCGGCGAATCTAGCGAAGAAGTGCACTGCCGCCGGTGCTCTTAATGGAGGTACTGGAAGATTCTGACTTAATTCTCTGTTTTTATGTATATAAAATTTGAATTTGATTTTATGATTTTATAATGTATAAGTTTAGTTAATTTGTTTGGTTTTTCTGGTTATTTTGTATACGGGTATTTCTTTCTATTGTAGGTTATAGTCCAAAATTGTTGTGTATAGAGTTAATTTGTCAACTTCTTTTGCTTTTTTTTTAGGTACTTCTTTCTATTGTAGAATTTGGTCTTGAAGTTTACGAGTTCGTAGTTTTTTTTTTTTACATATGATTGAAACTCTTTTATTACAGAATTCAGTTACATTTATTGAATTTGGATAATGGCATAGAGCATATATTAGGATTCTTTCAGTTATTGGTGTGTATAGCTCCTTTCGACCTGGTGTGTTAATCTCTCCTGGTGGTTGAAATTCTGTCTGGAAAATTTCTCCTCTGAATGATTTCCAAGGCGATACAGTTTGCATTAATTTTCTTTGGTCGTGATTGGGGGCACAATTTTATTTGTATCTTCTATATATGGCATTTTAGAAATATTTCATAAACAGAATGTGTAAATTTTGGAGAGACAATGTGGCACATCTTGCTATTGTTTCAGAGTTTCAATCTGCAAATTCTGCATTTCTTGATGTTGTAAGCTCTGTTTTGGAGCAGAAACTGCATTCTGTGGATGTTGAACATTAGGTTATAAAGGTTAACAATGGCTATGGAAAGTCCCCTTGCTATCACTTCTGTTTCTTTGTACTGTACTATTTAAGAAGTTGTTTTTCTCCTTGTTATGTTTGTTGCAACATCTAGTTTTTGTTCTTGTTGTTAGTTGAATGGGTGAGGGATGCATTCTAAAGTATGCATCATCATAGAATAAAGTGAATTCTTTTACACATTTGGCATGGCAACAGTATTTGGCTCTATAAATAATTATGGATTGTAACACCTTTATGAAGGATCGTCTTAATTCGTGAGTGATGAACTATAGGAATGTCAAACTATTGAAGCTTTTATCAGGATGGAAGAATTATTGAATTTATGATTTTGTTGGAGCATATTCCATTGTTATTTTTACCATTTCTGCTTGTTTGCAGAACAAAAGAAACAAAAAGTATCTGAAATAAAGACTGGGATTGATGAAGCTGAAGCTTTGGTACTTCTTTTTCTTCATTAGAAAGCTGGCTTTATTTATTCTGTACTCTGGTTCTGATACGTTTTAACTAACGAATTTGTAGATAAGGAAAATGGACCTTGAAGCAAGAAGTTTGCAGCCAAACATCAAGGGCGTGCTTCTTGCTAAGTTGCGGGAATATAAATCAGATCTAAACAATCTTAAAACTGAAATTAAGAAAATTGTATCAGGTAACTTAAACCCTTCGGCACGGGATGAATTGTTGGAATCAGGCATGGCAGATGCTATGACGGTATGATTAATTTATTTTAGCATGCCCTTTTTGTACATGAAGATGGTTATTTTTGTTATGAAGCTATAACAAGGAAACAAATTCATCATCTTTTCCCTTTGTTGTTGTATGCTTTTTATTAAAATCACGGGTTAAGTGAGGCCTTACTGTTGGTGATATTGCTTTTCCCTTTCACGCAAGCCATATACCTACTTCATTATTCATTTTTATTGATCTAGCCCATTCAAACAGAAGTTGAGTGATCATATTGGATCTGTTTACATCAATTATCAATTAACAGACTTCTTTGAAGCTTTTTGAACAGGAGAGACGGATATGCAATTAGGCCAAATTATGTGGACCAAATTAGTATTTGACCCTTGTTGATCAATAAGTAATACTTCAGCACATTGTTTAGATTATTATTCCAGACATTGACTAGGTTGATTACTATGTACTTGATAATAACCCATCATATATGAGATACATCCATCTCATTGATGGTGAAACAAAGTGAATGAAGTTTAGGCAGTATATTTTGAGCTATACCTATTGAAGTTGCAAACAGTAGGATTACAACTGAAACATTTTGTTTAAAACACCAGGACCTTATAATTCATGTATCTTTCACACTTCATGAAGGATATCATACCTTTTAATGGTGGATAAATTACAAAGAGTAGGTTATAATTTTGTTGGCAGATAGTTCTAGTATAAGTACAACCTTAATATTAGACCTTTTTGAGGTTAAATGCAAAGGTTAATTAAGTATTTATTCAGTTGACTCTTTTGAGTGTTGGATGATCATGGCAATTTTTATCTAATTGATTCTGAGTATTGGTTGTTCCATTAGCATGACCAATTTGTTGTCATTGCTTGCTATGGCACATTCATTTTCACATACAATGGACCTGGTGTATTAACATTTGCCAATACTAGTTTGTTACCCATGCAATACTAAGATAACTTTATACTAATTAAAAAATTGTAATGTTAATATATTTTCTAGAAATTATATTTAACTGATTTAGATTTTAAATATGATTGACTTTTTCTTCTACTAAATGCTTTGATATTATAAATTTTTAGTGAAATGTTTGGTGGTACCTCCAAGAAGAATATATGTTAGATTATAAATTTGCCCGGCTACATTCAGGCCATTGTGCCAAATGGCATTTCTATTTCTGATTTCCAGATATGAAGAATGACTAAGCTTAGATTCAATCTTCATTTCTGAATCAACACTAAAGCTGACGTCAATTTGTAATGTAAATACATTAGGCATCTGCTGACCAGAGAACAAGATTAATGGTGTCAACTGAGAGGTTGAATAAGACCAGTGATAGAGTTAAGGATAGTAGGAGAACAATGTTGGAAACAGAAGAGCTTGGTGTTTCGATTCTTCAAGATTTGCATTCACAGCGTCAATCTCTGTTGCATGCACATAACACGGTAATCTTTTGTCTTTCTTGTCCAATAGATGAGGTGTTTGTAATTCTTTTACGGTTAGTGACATGGAATTTTAATTTTCTATTAGAAGTAATTTCAAGTGAAATATAAATTGTTCTTTTCCTTGAGTCAAATGCGTAATATCAGTGGTGATAATACCGTAAAAGTACATATCCTTTGATCTACTGATTGTTGTATTCCCTCATGTAGCTCCATGGAGTGGATGACAACATAGGCAAGAGCAAGAAAATTTTGTCCAACATGTCAAGAAGGATGAACAAGAACAAATGGATTATTGGAGGCATTGTTTTGATTCTGGTTGTTGCCATCATCGTGATTCTGTACTTCAAACTTAAATAGCCAATGATTGACCTTTCCTAGTAATGGTCATAAAGGTCGCAAAGATACAAGGATTACTATTATTTCCCATTGTGCCTCCTTCTCTTCTGATTATGATTTGTGAGTGTTTTTGGTCAAAAGATGATGTGTTGTGCAGTGTTGATATGCAGCTTCATACTGTTAACTTGTTTCAATGTATGTATCCGATGATGGGTTTGGCATGTATGGAATATTGATTTTGATATTTTTTTATGGTGAGTTGTTGCATGAATTTAATCATGAAACTAAATTTTTTGTGGTTATGATCTTCAAATATAAACGAAATTTGGTTCTAATCCATTGGAGTAAATTATGTAACTACAATGCTGCATGTAATTAAAACTTGATCTGGAGCTCATAGGCTCATAGGATTTACACAAACCTTCGGAGACAAATTGAAGGAGCCTTCTGTCTTTGAAAATGATAATTTTATAACAAGTTAATCCTTCTGGCAATGGTTAATGGCTATTATGGAAGTTAATGAAAGGATGATGTGAAATGTTAATTCAAAACATTTTAACTAATTTCATAAGTTCATCTTCTTCCGCTTTCTATCAGAGCCTTCAACACCGAAAGATACTCTTAACTTGAGGTTTTACATTGTTTGAAGGAGGAAGAAAAACGATTGGAATCAACGGGTGAAAATTGACAACATTGAGATTTCTTTTTGTATTAAGATGGGAGGCGCAGAAATGCGTAGATTTTACGTATTTCTGTATATAAAAAAATTGTAGAAATTGAGAAAAATATTCTTCCTCTCTCATAAAGTATATTTTTTTAACATAATTGATTATGGGATTATAATAATTCATTATGTAATATTTAGGGTTTATATACTAAATTTTAAACCCTAATATTTACTTATTTATGTTTGTAAACTTTTTATTTAATATATATTTTTTGTTTTTATATTATTATAATAATAAATAATTAAAAAAATTATATTAAAATAATAAATAAATTTATTTTACTTTTTCATTGGTTTCTACTCTTTTTTCTTAATTTAGACAAAAAAAAAATTCATTCTTTTTCTCACTTTTTTTCACTCTTTTAAACCCACTCTCTAGTCCAAGCATTAGGAAAAGTTAATTGTGTGCATATCATTATTTTACATCAAATTCCAAATTCACTCATATTCTTCTATCTTAAAAATAAATGTATTTACTTTTATCTGGTATTAAATGAATATATAATGAGTTTGAAGTTCACCTGTTTTGGACGTGAGTTTGAAATTCTTGATTCTTTTTGTGAACAATCCTTTTTTCAACGTCTAGGCCTTAGTTGAGTAATTATCTTAATAGAATAGTTTATCGTTTGAGTATGTACCACATTCTTGTAGTTATGTTTTTTTCAATGATGTTCTCCATCTAGATAGATACATATCCATCCAAATCAAATCAATCCAATTCAGTCTGAATATTTTGGTTAAGATATTTTGAGTTAATTAAACTTGTTGATTATTGGATTATATACTGAGTTTTAATGTTGAAAACTCATCTATTATTTTTAATAAGATCACATGTCTAATAAAACTCAACCTAGTTTATAAATATCATAATTTTATGAAAAAAAAAAAATTTATGTGTTTTTGTTACCCAACATTATCATATTTTGTCGTAAAAATATAATATATTTTGAAACATATAGTTTCCTTTTACGTAATACACAATTTCTATACTACTACTACCCATATAAAAAAATTGAAAAAGAATACTTGACCTCTTTACTCCCAAGCACCTCACCCCATACATTATTATTTTACCCAAAAAACTAAAAACCCGTTATTTATCCGAACTCCAATCATCGTCATCTTCGTCATAATATGGTATGAGATGGTCACACTCACTCATCACACAACACCACTCTCCTCTCTTCTTCCGTTCTCTTCTCCGGAGATGCGCCCGCGCCTCCGCCATCCGCCCCGGCGAGCAGCTCCACGCTGCCGTCACCGTGGCTGGCCTCCTCTCCTCTCCCTCCCACTTCCTCCTTAACGCCCTCCTCCACCTCTACGCTGCCTGTTCCCTTCCCTCCAACGCGCACAGACTGTTCGACCAAATTCCCCACTCGCACAAGGACTCCGTGGACTACACAGCCCTCATCCGCTGCTCCCATCCCATAGATTCGCTCCGTTTCTTCCTCCAAATGCGCGAACGCGCTCTCCCCCTCGACGGGATCACGCTAATCTGCGCCCTCGGCGCCTGTGCCAGGCTTGGGGATAACAACCTCGTGCCTCAAATGCACGTGGGTGTGGTGAAGTTCGGGTTTTTGAGGCACACCAAAGTGTGCAATGCGGTGCTGGATGGTTATGTTAAGTGTGGGCTTTTGGGTGAGGCTAGAGGGGTGTTTGAGGAGATTGAGGAACCCAGTGTTGTGTCTTGGACTGTGGTTTTGGAAGGTGTGGTGAAATGGGAAGGTGTGAAGAGTGGGAGAATGGTGTTTGATGGAATGCCCGAGAGAAATGAGGTAGCTTGGACTGTTATGATAAAGGGGTATGTTGGGAGTGGGTTTACAAAGGAAGCCTTTTTGCTTCTTAAAGAGATGGTTTTTGGTAATCAACGTGGGTTGGGTCTAGCAGAAGGAGCTAGCCTCTCACAACGCAGTGAACCGAGCACATTTGGTGCCAGACAATGCCATGAACAGAAAGAGCTGGTTTTGAATAACCAACAGGCATTTTGTCATGTGGAAAAAGCTAGTCTCCCACAATGTAGTGAATCAAGATTTGAATTCTTGCGGGAAAAGATGTCTACTTTTAGTATTAGAAAATATGATGAACATGATTGCTTTCGAAGAAAGACACTTGTAGAAAACAAAAACAAAGAGGGGATGGCATTTTGTTGTGGATTTGGATTTGGGTTGAATTGGGTTACTTTGTGTTCTGTTTTGTCTGCATGTTCTCAGTCTGGGGATGTCAGTGTGGGAAGGTGGCTTCATTGTTATGCTGTTAAGACTGTAGGGTGGGATTTGGGTGTTATGGTGGGGACAAGTTTGGTTGACATGTATGCCAAATGTGGGAGGGTAAGTACTGCGTTGACGGTGTTTAGGCACATGCCACGGAGGAATGTGGTGGCATGGAATGCCATACTTGGTGGGTTGGCTATGCATGGGATGGGGAAGGTTATGGTGGAGATGTTTGGTTCCATGGTGGAAGAGGTGAAGCCTGATGCTGTGACTTTCATGGCTTTGTTAAGTGCCTGCAGCCATTCGGGTCTTGTTAAACAGGGTTGGCAATATTTTCATGGTATGGAGTCTGTTTATCGGGTGCGACGGGAAATAGAGCATTATGCTTGCATGGTAGATCTTCTTGGTCGAGCTGGACGATTGGAAGAAGCTGAAGTTTTGGTGAGGAAGATGCCCGTTCCTCCAAATGAAGTTGTGTTGGGGTCCCTTTTGGGTGCTTGTTATGCACATGGTAAGTTGAACCTGGGGGAAAAGATCATGAGGGAGTTGGCTCAGATGGATCCCCTCAACACAGAATATCATATCCTGCTTTCAAACATGTATGCGTTGTATGGGAAAGTAGATAAAGCAAATTCACTCAGAAAGGTTCTTAAGAATAGGGGTATCAAAAAGGTGCCAGGAATGAGCTCTATATACGTTGATAGCCAACTTCATCGGTTCATTGCTGGGGATAAATCACACCCAAGAACTGCAGATATTTACATGAAGCTTGATGACATGATTTGCAAGCTGAGGTTGGCTGGCTATGTTCCCAACACAAATTGTCAAGTGTTGTTTGGTTGTTCCAATGGGGATGATCGCATGGAAGCATTGGAGGAGGTAGAACAAGTGTTGTTCACTCATAGTGAGAAGCTTGCACTTTGTTTTGGCCTAATGTCCACACCACCCGGTTCTCCCCTGTGTATCTTCAAGAACTTGAGGATATGCCAGGACTGTCATTCTGCTATTAAGATTGCTTCCGATGTATATAAACGTGAAATTGTTGTCCGAGATCGTTATCGTTTTCATAGTTTCAAACAAGGCTCTTGTTCTTGCTCTGACTATTGGTGAATTATACTTTTAACCTGAAGCCACAATTTGGACCAGGAAATTGAAGTTTCATTGATCAGGACTAAGAAAATAACTAGTTTTACAATACAGACATTTTTTGCACATTGCTTTCTGCAATGATATTTTGTTTTTCTCTATCATATCATTCCCCACTTCATATTTTTCTTTTTCTTTTGGTGTTATAAAGTAAATTGTACAAAACCATCAAATTATTGATTTGAGTGGTACATGATTATATTTCCTTCACAATATTATTTTACCAGTATTTTAGTCAAGGTGGTCAAACCTCCACACAGGATTCTAAGTACTCAATAATTATATGATTATAGAAAGAATTTGTATAAATTGGAAAACAAAAATCTGAACATTGATTTTACTATTGTGCCCAATTCTTCACTCAATTCTATCAATATAATATATTTTATTTCCTTCATAGAGGTTCCATTTCCATAATTTTTTTGCGTAAATATAAACCTTTTTTTTTTTTTCTGTATGAAGAGGTGCATTTATTTTGAAGACTTGTGGTGCATCCCCTTTTCTCACATTTGGAATGTTTTCTAAACAAAAACATCTTAATCAACATGTAATTTAGTGAACATCACTTGAACCTTTTTTCTACTCCTAAGCATGAGTTGGATTATTTTGATAATATCCTAAAGTTCGATCAAACTATTTGATTTAAATCTAATAAAAATCCAAAATAATGGAGACAAAATCTGACCAATCCGAATTTATAATATAATATATCATTTTTACCAATTCTTTCCTAGTGTGAGAAAATCATTAGCAAAAGAAGCTTCCTCGAAATTAAATATAACAACACTGCCTAATCAAATAAACATAATATCTTACATGTTTTGGTTTCAATTTGATACGAATATGCTAAAATAGCATTCATCAAGCAAACTTAATACACCTATTTTTGTAGTTTAAAAAACTTATTGAATTAAATTCTCGAAGGGGATGTAGCTCAAATGGTAGAGCGCTCGCTTTGCATGCGAGAGGCACGGGGTTCGATCCCCCGCATCTCCACAATTTTTAATTTTTGAGTAAATATAAGGAATTTGCCAGAAGAGGAAATTATTTAGGAAAACATTCTTGTCTTGTTTTAGTTTAACATCATCCGTCAAAATGAAAAAGAGCTAAATGTTTACGTCGTTGTATATTTCACTTTTTATATTCATATTCATATTATAAATAAAGTAAATAATATTATTATATTTGATGAACATATAATATTATTAGTAATCGATGATACATTAATAGCTGATCAAATTATTAAATTTTTATATAGGATAAAAGTTAAATATTCATAAAACTCTAATAAACAAAAATATTTGAGCCAAAATTAAAAGTAGTACCAAATAGAAAATCAAAATCAAAACGTGTTAGCAAGAAAATATAAACAAAAAAGTATTTTGATTTGTGAAAACCACACGCTATATATGCTGACACGTCTTGTTTGGACCATTCACCATCATGATATTTAGACAAAATTAACTAATTAAATTTCTTTCCTTGCCAAATTGGATAATGTAGGAAAAAATAGTGGTATGATTTTTAAAATAATTATTATTAAGTTAAAAATAATAATGATTTATGATTAAATAATAATATAAAGTTATTTTACATTTTTAGCAAGTAACTTTTTTCCTTTTTTTAATATCTACCTCCAAAAATATGTTGCTTCTATTCTTGAGCCAAACAAAAAATTAAGAGAGTATGTAATTTCATTGGAAATCTTAAGTTGTTCTAACCAAACAAACATAGAAAATTATTTAATTTATTGGTCTTTTTTTTTGTGGTTTCAAACTAATTTTAGGGACCTAATTAGGAGAATTGTGGAAGATTAAGGATCCATTGATCTTAACTCAGAATTTTAAGTCACGAGAACAAAATAATAATAGTTCATGCATGCACAGATAACTAACTATACAAAGATGTTTGAAGGAAACACGATCATATTTTTTTTCCTTTTCAAAGATTCATGACAGTTAATTACAATTGATTTGTTCTTGTTCATCATCTAGCTGTTGTAACAATAAGAATGGAACACCAAGTTTATACAGAAATCTTCCTGGACTTGCTTCTCTTGAACCTGCTATAATCTTGCAATAATCTACCTTGGAGTTCCTGCTTCATTTCATCCCACACTGTTTTGAAAATCTGTTAATTGATTGATTAATCAGTTAGTCATAAAAAAATTTGGTTTCATCAAATATAGTTTTGCATGCAATGCTGCATGAGCTAAGTAGGAAGAGAAAGGAAGTGAATTGAGCAATGCAAAGGAAATCTAACCAACTCTATGGCATTCTGCACGACACTCTGAGGCATGAAAGCTGTTGCAGGAGTAACACAAAATGTTATCTCCATCTCCATTTGATTCTTAAGCCAACTATGTTTTCCCTTCCTTTCTGGGTATATGGAGCCTCTAACATCAAGGTTGATCTGGTAAGGGTCCTTGTAAAGGGCACTCAGGCCCTGTAGCTCCCACCTTGTCTGCAAAACAAAATCATCATCATCATCTCTACAAAATTTCTTAGAAATGAAACAAGTTTCAAACCGACCAATTATATAATAATAACCATGCTTGAATAAACTTCTTCTTTTGTAAGTGCTTATTGATAAGTTAATCTAAAAAGAATGAAAGTGCTTACAAAGTGAAGCTCAAGAACTTTGGTGATATGATGAGGAATGTCAGGTGGGTAATCGTCCCCTCCAGATTTGAATGTTAACCTGACATCTGCTGTTGGTTTAATACTCAGAAATAAGCATTGTATGGGAGGCATTTGAATCCTCCACTCTTCCTGCAGATACATATATAATACCAAAAAGCACTTTGAGATGAGAGAACAATTCCTAGTTTTTCTTTCTTTGCCATTCTAGATTAAGTGTATGTTTGGATTAACTTTCCTGCAATGTTTCTAAAAGAAGAAAAAATGTAACATCATTCTCAGGAACCATTTCTCCTTAATATTACTCTATACTGAAACTCATGTCAATAATGTTTCTTATCTTGTTTTCTTAAAAGTATGTACGAAAAAGTTGTGCAAAGTACCTCATTGATCTGTTTGGTTGTTCCTGTGTCACGAGGGAACAGGGCTCGAAGTACTCTGTGTTTGTCATCCATGTATTGATCAAAGGAAGCCTGCAAAGAACATTGACACATTCATGTCAGAGTGAGTACCATGGAAGGAGAAGATGGAGAAGTTTTGTTTTGTGAGAATGTGTTACCTCAGGCAATTCACGAATAGGAACATTGGTGTTGCTTCTGAAACTGAATGAGGAAGTTTTCTCACTCCTAATGGACTTTGATGCTGGTGCCTTTGGAGGGCAGTGCCTTTGCAACTTCTTCAGCAATTGATGCTGGCAAGGAACCATGAAAAGGCTTGCCATAGTATGATGCTTCTTGACACAATGAATTTATGTATCTTTCTTTATATATCAGATGATGCCTCCTCGACACAGCAAAGTATTATTTATTTTCTACTATTTTTCTTTCTTCATGGATGGATGATAAAACGGATTCGGCGGGCCGGCCCACGTTCTGTCTCAATGGTGGGGTGGGCTTCATTAATAATTTTAACCTGTCACTCTCTTTTGTTCCGTCACTGAAAATCCCAAGGATAGAACGGAAATCCCTTTTAAAAAAATATATTTATATATTAAAATTAAAATATATTATTTTTTATTATGTTATTGAAATATGTAAATATATTTAATCAATTAAATTTCAATTATTAATTATAATTAATTATTTTAATATATTTCTATTAATAATTTTTCAATTTATCTAATAAAAATATTAATTAATAAATAAAAATTTAAAAATTATTTATATAATTAAATATATATTTTAAAAATATATATATAAAAAAATGTTATATAAAAAAAATTATTGAACTCGTTGGCCAATAATTTTTAAACACTAAAATTTTTGGAATTCATTTTTTTTAACTTCAAAAATTAATATAGAAAAGAAATACAATTTTAATTACTATTTATTAAAAATATTGAGATTGAATTTTATATATATATATATATATATATATATATATATATATATATATATATATATATATATATATATAAATAGTCTGTGAGAATCGCTTTGTCAGAATGCTAACCAAAAGCTTGCAAGATTGGTAGATCATGTTTGCTTTACCGCTTAGAAATTAAAATTATAAATTATAAATATATAAATAGATGTATTTAATAATTATTAATTTTGAAAAGTAAAAATCATAAATATAAATAAAACTTACAAAATTTTTTAGGGTGTTTATCTTCTTCTCAGAAAAAAAAAACTGGTTACATGAGATGGACTACTATTGAATGGAAGAAAAATGATAATAAAAATAATTATATATATTAAGATGAAATTTATTAGTTTTGTAAATAAAATTTAAAAAATTATTTATTATTGTTATTAATTTAATAATCTAAAATAATAATTTTTTTAAAAAGATACATGAATATATATATATATATATATATATATATATATATATATATATATATATATATAAAATAATAGCAGAATGTTAGGAACAATTTTTTTCAATGATTATATTTAAAATAGTATAAACAGGTATAGGTATTTTTCTTATTAAGTGGAAGGAAATATGTGGTGTGGGAAACCCTAATTTGGTTTTTGAGGTGACGAATGCGTGTTGGGAACAACCAATAGAAAGCATAAGTTGGCAAATATGTTGGCAGAAAATATCTACGCGCAAGCAGACAAAATTCCTAAATTATTATCGTAATATGTAACACACAATGATTTTCTTTTCTTAGCATATCAAACAATATCTTAAATATTAAGTTTTTAATTATTTTATTATAATAATAATCCTAATTAATAATTGAAGGTCATTCTTTGAGGAAGTCAAGATCTGTCTGATTCTGGATCAATGAAGGTGTGACTCGAAACTGCTCAGCTCCTTCATTCTTCAATTCTTCTGCCCATTTCACTCTTTGGGATGGACGAAACCCAGTCGTAACACCTGCACTCTTATCAAATTACTCAAAACTTGTTCAACTCAATAAACAACAATTTTATACACTTTAGACTCTCTTTCAATTTGATGTTTTTATGAAATTATCAACAATTTTGCTGTCAGATCCATTGATTTAATGAGTATAAGAAGACCTTGGTGATGATAACAATACTACAGAATGGAGTTAGAAATGATTGCCTATATTCATAGAAGCAAGAAGTTCTTTCATTCTCAACTTTGCCCCAATTATTCCACCCTGCAGGCTTTATACATTGATCCATGAAAGTGAATGCAAAAATCACTCTTGCAAAAGGTCTCCATGGTCTTCCCAGATATGCATATGAAGTTCCCCCATTACCTGTGACAACACATCTGCAATGACACCACAAACAAAACATCATGTAAGGAACCAAAATGTTCACAACATAATAAAAGTACTTTTACTTGTGTAGTATCCTTTCTTGGACTCAGAAGTTTAACAGAGGAGCAAAATATTGACAAGGAAGCATAGAGTAGTATTGTTGTAAATTAAGAGGTATTGCAAAACAGAGCATGTGTTCTCACACGTTGCAAAAGACTGTTTCATAGCACACGTTGCAGAAGACTGTTTCATAGCACACGTTGCAAAAGACTGTTTCAGAGAATGTGTTATCACACGTTGTAGAAGACTTTTTTAGAGAATGTTGCAGAAGACCGTTTCAGAGAACGTGTTCTCACACACGTTGCACAAGACCTTTTCAGAGAACGTTACAGAGAACGTTACAGGGAACGTTACAAACCCACTACCAAGTCTTCCATAACTGTTACAGACTTTCTCTTATAAATAGAGACCACTTCACACTCTTTAGTACACAACTCTCTCATATTCTCTTCTCTGATCTTTTTTATGTGTTCCTGGGTTAATTTACTCTTTTGAGAGTTTCTTGCTAGTTTCTGAGATCCTCGGATATTCCGAGAAGTTCCTGTTGTATCCTGGGGAACTTGCGCAATACACCGCGGATAAGTCCTTAAGGGCAGTGATTATACACGCCTCAGGAATAAAGTTTGCTCGTGTCTCTGTCAGCTTTTACAACAATCTTAAGGACTTAGGGCTGACAGTACGAACATCAACAACTTCCTTCAACAGTTTTAGAATATTGGATAGTGAAAGAAAGGGAATTATGAAGTGCTCATGGATCAAGGTTAGTCTTATGATTATGATTTATATGTGTTATTATGTGAGAATCAATTCATGTATGTTATTATATGATTATGATTCATGTATGTTATTATATGATTATGATTCATGTATGCTATTACGTGAGAATAAAGAATCTAAATGTGAAGAGTAGTTTTATAGAAATAGTAACTTATAAAAACTACAAATTAAAATACATGTGGTATCAGAGCTATACTTATTAGATTTATGATTTTTCTCTTATGATAATTTTTAAATTATGTTTTTCCCAAAATTGAATAAAGGAATAAATGATTTAAGTCTGCAATCAATTTTAAATTGAATTTAATTTCATAGTGCCTATGTGAATGACACTCGTAATTCTTATTGAAATGTGAATGACCACTGTAATTGATTTTAATTGAAAAAGTAAATTACGTGATTGGGTTAACGGTGAATTATATATGAAATTGATTACTTGCATGTTATAATTATGATGAAAGAAAGGTAAAATTTTATATCAAATGTTATCGAGCATACATCATGCGACTTGTCCATAGAGCACATGTGTCAAACACATGTTCCTTTTTCGGATTTATTATACCAATACAACGAGAGAAAATGAAAAATGCATTATGCATAATTATTTTATGTTATGGGAGAAATTATGCAAAATTATTATATGTTATGAGAGATTTTGTTTGTGAATAATTAGTAATTACATGTATACAATGTATGACTTAGATCTACATATTACATTGCGCAATACACCGCGGATAAGTCCTTAAGGGCGGTGATTATACACGCCTCGGGAATAAAGTTTGCTCGTGTCTCGTCAGCTTTTACAACAATCTTAAGGACTTAGGGTCGACAAGTACGAACATCAACAACTTCCTTCAACGAGTTTTAGAATATTGGATAGTGAAAGAAAGGGAATTATGAAGTGCTCATGGATCAAGGTTAGTCTTATGATTATGATTTATATGTGTTATTATGTGAGAATCAATTCATGTATGTTATTATATGATTATGATTCATGTATGTTATTATATGATTATGATTCATGTATGCTATTACGTGAGAATAAAGAATCTAAACGTGAAGAGTAGTTTTATAGAAATAGTAACTTATAAAAACTACAAATTAAAATACATGTGGTATCGAGCTATACTTATTAGATTTATGATTTTTCTCTTATGATAATTTTTAAATTATGTTTTTCCCAAAATTGAATAAAGAAATAAATGATTTAAGCTCGCAATCAATTTTAAATTGAATTTAATTTCATAGTGCCTATGTGAATGACACTGTAATTCTTATTGAAATGTGAATGACCCTGTAATTGATTTTAATTGAAAAAGTAAATTACGTGATTGGGTTAACGGTGAATTATATATGAAATTGATTACTGCATGTTATAATTATGATGAAAGAAAGGTAAAATTTTATATCAAATGTTATCAGCATACATCATGCAGCTTGTCCATAGAGCACATGTGTCAAACACATGTTCCTTTTTCGGATTTATTATACCAATACAACAGAGAAAATGAAAAATGCATTATGCATAATTATTTTATGTTATGGGAGAAATTATGCAAAATTATTATATGTTATGAGAGATTTTGTTTGTGAATAATTAGTAATTACATGTATACAATGTATGACTTAGATCTACATATTACATTGCGCAATACACCGCGGATAAGTCCTTAAGGGCAGTGATTATACACGCCTCAGGAATAAAGTTTGCTCGTGTCTCTGTCAGCTTTTACAACAATCTTAAGGACTTAGGGCTGACAGTACGAACATCAACAACTTCCTTCAACAGTTTTAGAATATTGGATAGGGAAAGAAAGGGAATTATGAAGTGCTCATGGATCAAGGTTAGTCTTATGATTATGATTTATATGTGTTATTATGTGAGAATCAATTCATGTATGTTATTATATGATTATGATTCATGTATGTTATTATATGATTATGATTCATGTATGCTATTACGTGAGAATAAAGAATCTAAACGTGAAGAGTAGTTTTATAGAAATAGTAACTTATAAAAACTACAAATTAAAATACATGTGGTATCAGAGCTATACTTATTAGATTTATGATTTTTCTCTTATGATAATTTTTAAATTATGCTTTTCCCAAAATTGAATAAAGAAATAAATGATTTAAGCTGCAATCAATTTTAAATTGAATTTAATTTCATAGTGCCTATGTGAATGACACTGTAATTCTTATTGAAATGTGAATGACCCTGTAATTGATTTTAATTGAAAAAGTAAATTACGTGATTGGGTTAACGGTGAATTATATATGAAATTGATTACTGCATGTTATAATTATGATGAAAGAAAGGTAAAATTTTATATCAAATGTTATCAGCATACATCATGCAGCTTGTCCATAGAGCACATGTGTCAAACACATGTTCCTTTTTCGGATTTATTATACCAATACAACAGAGAAAATGAAAAATGCATTATGCATAATTATTTTATGTTATGGGAGAAATTATGCAAAATTATTATATGTTATGAGAGATTTTGTTTGTGAATAATTAGTAATTACATGTATACAATGTATGACTTAGATCTACATATTATTTTGTACAATATTATTTTGTCCACATCTTATTTTGTACATACTTATACGTATAAGTAGAATATTATTTTGTACATACTTATAAGAAAGGGTTGATACTATATGAAAACAGTGGATCTAACCCCACTTTACCTTCAAGAAAGAAAGAAAATTGATTTTTGTGGAAAGCTAGGTCATCATGCACCTCAGTGCAGACGTAGAATGAGAAATGACAATCCTCCTAGGGCAAATTTAGCCGAGGGAGAAGATACAATTATTGCGGTTGTTTCTCAAATAAACCTTGTGACAAATGTGAGCAAATGAGTGGTAGACTCTGGTGCTACCAGACACATCTGTGCAAACAGAAGTGCTTTTACCTCCTACACTAGTGTGGGGATGGAGAAGAACATATTTATCTCGGTGATTCCAGGACAACTCCTGTCTTAGGAAAAGGAAAAGTTCTTCTAAAACTCACATTTGGAAAGACTCTGGCCATGATGTGCTACATGTGCCATTAATCAGAGCTAATATAATCCTTGTAGCACTATTGGGAAAAGTTGGGGTTAAAGTGTCATTTGAATCCGATAAGATTGTTATGCAAATAATAATAATAATAATAATAATAATAATAATAATAATAACAATAATAATGTGTTTGTAGGGAAGAGATATTGTGATCAAATTTTTTTTTTGTACTTAACATCTCTGAGGTTGTTAATAAATTTTATTCTTCTGCTTATATTATTGATTCATATGATCTGTGACATTTATAGATGATTAACAAAAGTATACTTAATCAAACAGCTTTAGTGCACCTAATCACCCTTGAGAGAAGATATACTTACAGTGTGTTTTATAAGAAAACTGGTAAAACTCCCTATGAGTTATGGAAAGTTATGAACCTAATCTTAAATATCTAAGAGTGTGGGGGTGCTTAGCTAAGGTAATGTTACCTAATCATATATAAGAAAAGAAAATTAGGTTCTACAACTTCTGATTGTATGTTCTTAGGCTATGCAGAACATAGTGCTGCCTATAGGTTTCTTGTCCTCAAAAGTGATGTAATTGAACATAATACTATAGTAGAGACAAAAAATGTTGAGTTCTTTGAACATATTTTTCCTCTAAAGGTTAGTGAGACACCTAAACAATCTATAGAGATTAATAGTGATAAAATATATGAGGATTTTAGGAGAAGTAAAAGACAGAGGAAGGAAACCTCCTTTGGAGATGATTTCTACACTTATCTAGTTGAAAATGATCCAATGAGTTTTTTAGAGGCTACTAGGGCTCCTGATACAATACATTGGGATAATGCCATTAAGACTGAAATTGATTCAATTAAGAAAGATAATACTTGGACTTTGGTAGATTTGCCTAAAGGAACAAAACCTATTGGTTGTAAGTGGATCTTTAAGAAAAAATATCATTCTGATGGATCCATAGATAAATATAAGGCAAAATTAGTAGCAAAGGATTTTACTCAAAAATCCAACATTGATTATTTTGACACCTTTGCCCCTGTGACTAGGATTTCCTCTATTCGAGTTTTGTTAGCTCTAGCAGCTATCCATAAACTAGTTATACACCAAATGGATGTTAAGACAACCTTTTTGAATGGTGAATT